CAAACAACTTCCACTCTCGAGGTGCGGTACGGTGACTGTCCTATCGTCCGCTCTTGTATGCTGGATTGCACTATTTCACTATATTAAGGGGAGAGGGTGCCTTCACACACATATTCGGTGTGAAATATCTTCCGCCCCCCAGCGGAGCGCTTCGGCGCCTTTGCGAAGCAAAACGCGGCATTCAAAAACAACAACCAAAATTGCCATCGATTTCCTCTCCCTGCCCTGCAATGGCTGGAGCAGAAGGAGAGCGAGAGAGAGAATAGTCTCATTGGGTCAGAGGAATGGCAGTGGAGCGGGCTAATGGCGAGTAGGCTCGCGATCTATCAATTACACTAGCCAGGTCGCTCTCCCTATTGAACATTATTACTCTCTCTCGGCGCACACGTCGCCACTGCGGTTTCCGCGACAGCAGCAGCAGCAGCATCATGATGTTGCATCCACCAATTAGTCCGGAACCGGGTTATTCGGCTGTCTGCGAACAGTCCGGTTTTAACCTTACCCAACAAACAACATCCACTCTCGAGGTGCGGTATGGTGAATGTCCTATCGTCCGACCTTGTATGCTGGATTGCACTATTTCACTTTATTAAGGGGAGAGGGTGCCTTCACACACATATTCGGTGTGAAATATCTTCCGCCCCCCAGCGGAGCGCCTCTGTGAAGCAAAGCGCGGCATTCAAAACAACAACCATAATTGCCGTCGCTTCCCTGCCCTGCAATGGCTGGAGCAGAAGGAGAGAGATTTTAGTCTCATTGGATCAGAGGAATGGCAGTGGAGTGGGCTTATGGCGAGTAGCCTCGCGCTCTATCAATTACACTTGCCAGGTCTCTCTTCCGTTTGGACATTATTTACTCCGTCTCTCTCTCGGCGCACACGTCGCCACCCTACTAGTTTCCTTCACAGCATATGCTGCGGCCTTTCAGTCCGGGCTCCCCTTCGCCTTGCTGTCTGCCCAACTTAGCGGACTTGCGTTGGCTGATCACCCCGTCTTCGCGTCTGTGCCGGCCTTCAATGCAGCGCCCAACCGTCTCTTGACCGAGATTCATTGCACTATTCCACGCGCAAACGGCTACCCTAAATGTGCATAGACAACGCTCATGGTTCAACACGACCAGGGCGCAGTCTGGGAGCCGAGTATACTAAAAAGAGAGTTTAGCAGCCAAAACTCGTCAAAACACACGTTGGGCGACGATGGCGCTCATGAGCCCACGTCCCCACAAACAGTAAGAGAAAGAGAGAGAGGAGGAGATGGACCAATGTGCGGTCCCTCGCCCAATGTCTTATGCCTCGCTGGGGCAAAGAGAAGAGAAGAGAAGAGGAGCGGATAAGGGAGGAGATTGGCCAACGTGCGGTCCCTCGCCCAATGTCGGCTGCCTCGCTGGAGCTGGGTAAAGAGGAGAGGAGCGGATAAGGGAGGAGATTGGCACACACGGTGGCGCTGCCGGCGCCGAGGATAGCAAGAGAAGGTGCAGTTTGATCTGATCATCTGGTTTGCTATTTCTCTAAGGCCAACGTGCGGTCCCACGCCCAATGTCGGCTGCCTCGCTGGGGCAAAGAGAAGAGGAGCGGATAAGGGAGGAGATTGGCACACACGGTGGCGCTGCCGGCGCCGAGGATAACGAGAGAAGGTGCAGTTTGATCTGATCATCTGGTTTGCTATTTCTCTAAGTTCAACGTGCGGTCCCTCGCCCAATGTCTTCTGCCTCGCTGGGGCAAAGAGAAGAGGAGCGGATAAGGGAGGAGATTGGCCAACGTGCGGTCCCTCGCCCAATGTCGGCTGCCTCGCTGGAGCTGGGGCAAAGAGGAGCGGATAAGGGAGGAGATTGGCACACACGGTGGCGCTGCCGGCGCCGAGGATAGCAAGAGAAGGTGCAGTTAGATCTGATCATCTGGTTTGCTATTTCTCTAAGGCCAACGTGCGGTCCCTCGCCCAATGTCTTCTGCCTCTCTCTCAATCTAACTATTTTGGCCGCCGTGATAGGCGCCGCCAACAGCAGCAGCTACCTGGTTGATCCTGCCAGTAGTCATATGCTTGTCTCAAAGATTAAGCCATGCATGTGTAAGTACAAGCCGATTTAAGGCGAAACCGCGAATGGCTCATTAAATCAGCTATGTTTCATTGGATCTGTAAACCCACTTACTTGGATAACTGTGGCAATTCTAGAGCTAATACATGCAATTGGTCTCTGACCGCAAGGGAAGAGCGCTTTTATTAGTTCAAAACTGGTCGGGCCCCCGTCCGTAACCCACCTGTGGTGAATCTGAATAACTTCGGGCTGAGCGCACGGTCTCCGCACCGGCGCCGCTTCTTTCAAGTGTCTGCCTTATCAGCTTTCGATTGTAGGTTATGCGCCTACAATGGCTATAACGGGTAACGGGGAATCAGGGTTCGATTCCGGAGAGGGAGCCTGAGAAACGGCTACCACATCTAAGGAAGGCAGCAGGCACGCAAATTACCCACTCCCGGCACGGGGAGGTAGTGGCGAAAAATAACGATGTGAGTCTCATCCGAGGCCTCGCAATCGGAATGAGTACACTTTAAATCCTTTAACGAGTATCCATTGGAGGGCAAGTCTGGTGCCAGCAGCCGCGGTAATTCCAGCTCCAATAGCGTATATTAAAGTTGTGCGGTTAAAAAGCAATGGTTGGATCTCAGTTCGGACGGCTGATTGCACGCCGGTGTTTACTGTCGCATCTCGAACAGCAGCCCTTACGGCTCGCACGGGATGCTCTTTGTCGAGTGTGTCGAGTGGCGGAGAAGTTTACTTTGAAAAATTAGAGTGCTCAGAGCAGGTATTTGAATGGCCGAATGGTGATGCATGGAATAATGGAATAGGACCTGCGGTTCTATTTTTGTTAGTTTTGGAACCAGAGGTAATGACTAATGTCAGACGAAGCGGGGCATTCGTATTGCGGCGCTAGAGGTGAAATTCTTGGACGTCGCAAGACGAACTGCAACATTTGCCAGGATGTTTTCATTATCAAGAACGAAAGTTAGAGGTTCGAAGGCGATCAGATACAGCCCTAGTTCTAACCATAAACGATGCCAACTAGCGATCCGCCGGCGTTATTCCCATGACCCGGCGGGCAGCTTCCGGGAAACCAAAGTCTTTGGGTTCCGGGGGAAGTATGGTTGCAAAGCTGAAACTTAAAGGAATTGACGGAAGGGCACCACCAGGAGTGGAGCCTGCGGCTTAATTTGACTCAACACGGGAAACCTCACCAGGCCCAGACACCGGAAGGATTGACAGATTGAGAGCTCTTTCTCGATACGGTGGGTGGTGGTGCATGGCCGTTCTTAGTTGGTGGAGCGATTTGTCTGGTTAATTCCGATAACGAACGAGACTCTGGCCTACTAAGTAGTCGACGGATCTCCAGAAAATGGTGTCCAGTTCGCAACTTCTTAGAGGGATAAGCGGCAATTCTAGCCGCACGAGATTGAGCAATAACAGGTCTGTGATGCCCTTAGATGTTCTGGGCCGCACGCGCGCTACACTGAAGGGATCAACGAGTTTTCCCCCTCCGAGAGGAGCGGGTAACCCGTTCAAAGCCTTTCTTGATAGGGATTGGGGCTTGCAATTGTTTCCCAAGAACGAGGAATTCCCAGTAAGTGCAAGTCATCAGCTTGCGCTGACTACGTCTCTGCCCTTTGTACACACCGCCCGGGGGTCGATGAAGACCGCAGCAAACTGTGTGTCGGTATGTGAATCGCAAGAATACCAGATACATCGACAAGTTGAACGCATATTGCGGCGGCGGCAGCCATATGAGCTTGTCGCCGCCACTCCTCTACGAGGGTCGGAAATATACATCCATCGGTTGCTGCGAGTTCGGTGCCTGCTGACTGTCTCCCCGACACGAGGGTAACCCGAACCGAGCTTCCGCCTTGGGGTTTAATCGCCCGCGCCTTGCGCGAGGCGTGCCCTTAAAAACAAGCCTATCACTAGCAAGTCCATGGACTTGGCGCACCCACATTCAACCACAACAAAGCCGGGCACACACACATATGTGTGTGTCCCGTCCCGACGACAGTTGTCGCCCTCGCAAATAACTGGAGGCGCTCTTTTGCCTGCTGTCCACAGAGACACGAATGGCCGTCGGCTGCTCATGGCTGATGCTGCACATGTTCTAAGAGGCACACGTCCTCCTCCTTCTCTCTCGGAGAAGAAGCACTCCATCCCACGAAGAGGAAACGAAACCGGGTCGGATATCTTTTAAGTAAGCCCGCCGGAATTTCGTCTATCACCTCGAAAAGAGTGCTTGGCATGCATTGCAGTGGAACCTAAATTGATGAGTGCGCCTGGGCCTGCAGTCTACCATGTAGTGGTGCAGGCAGAGAGATGAGAATGCTTGGGTGACACCGTGCTCTTCCTCACGCGCTCCTCCACCCTCTCCCACGGTCAGACGCGGTGTGGGCGTTCTCTTTGAGAGTTCGCCACGAGTCCACGTCTATCTCATGACTGACAGGCCTGGGAGGGAGGCAGGGGGAGTTCTCTCTAAACGCGTTAAAGACGGTGTTGCGCCTCATAACGGCGCTCGCCGGGATAGAGCACTAGTTCTGCAGCCGGAAAGGCCGCTCACGCCAATTAATACTGCGACTCTCGCTCTCTTTCTCCGGATAAACAAGTGCCACTGCTGTGGCATGCGGGAACGGGGAAAGAGGTCAAAGTTTAAGCGGCAAAGGTGCGGCCGAGTAAGGGCGGAACACGAGCGTATATGCATTAAAACTGTGTATATGACTCTGCGAGAGATGTTCTGCTGGAACACTTTTCCTATTGGCTATTTACCACTCGTTGAGAAGGAACGGAGTCAGGGGTGGGAGTGCCGGCGCCATGGCCGCTGGTACCCCCGCGACAAGCCCCTCAAACCTTCCTGTGTGTATGTCTTTTGCAGCAGCACGTGGTAGTAATGTCGGTGGTGAAGAAAGTCGGTGGCAGAGCGTCTTCCGCTTCGTGGTTGGGGAAATTGTTCCCCCTAAGGATGATGAGACCACGAT